TGTGTCTGTGTGTGTGTGTGTCTGTGTGTGTGTGTGTCTGTGTGTGCACGAGAACACAATTACATTACTCAGCCTCCCTCCACCCCAGCTTCCAACACTTCTCAGAACAGCACAGTAATTCCTTCAAAATCTCAAATACTTCAGATTCCCCAACTCCCTAAGCTGCCAGGCAATGCAGACAGTTGTCACACACAGATGCTGTCTGAGCCTCAAGCCACTGTCCACAAAGTGGGCTCTTCCTCTCTTTTCTGGAACAATTGTCCCAGTCTCCACCCAGTATCCAACTGCTGTCTGAATGGCTGACTCAGGAGGGGCTTTGGCGGTGTTTCTTTCAGAATAAGCCCCACGGGGCAGTGACATGGCTTACCAGGTAAAGGCTCCTACCAAAAAGAATCCTGGTGAGCTGAGTTTGTTGCCCTTTAGCCTCTATAGGTACACTGTGACTCCCACATGTGCACATACTATAAATAAAATGTGGGAAAGAAGTCATGCTAGCTGATTTGAATTTAAATTTCCTTCCAAAACCACAAAAAAAAAAAAAAAAAATCCAAAGTGCAAGCCTGTCTGACTCTCCTTGAAGGCAAGGCAGATGTGAAGTACGCTGACCCAAGCCTCCCTCTGTCCACCTGGAAACTGACAATGAGAAGGAAAGCTGCGTTAGCTCACTGTTGCAGCTTACTCAGAGGAGGGGTGCTGTGTGTGCAGTATGCGTTGTCCTTGAGGCCTGTCGGCCCTATGCATCCTTCCGGAAGCCCCCCACCCACCCTGTGGTGACCAAGAGAAACCACAGCGACTAAAGGGGAATTCGGGTCCTCTGCCCCTGAGCAGGCTCCCCAAGGGACCACAGAAAACACCTGGGGATGCCCCTGCCTTTTCTCTTCCAGGTTCCCTTTGTCTGTCCTAACTACATTCTGACTTCCTCCTCCTCCTTCCTCTCGCCCTTTCTTTCTTCTCTGCCTCCTCCTCCTCCTCTTCCTCTTCTTAAGAGGCTGGTGTCCTGGCTCCTTTGACTTCAGAGGCAGCTACTATCCATCGAGGGCATTAGGAGCCCTCTGGTGCCCTGTGTCCCTTTCTCTGTGTTAGGGAAGCATCAGACTGATGAAACTAACTGAACCCTAGCTGTACCCTTAGGAGATTCTAAATAATTCCCTCTAACCCAAAAGGCAAGAGCCAGACACTCCAAGGATAGCCAGCAATCAGTTGCAAAAGCTCTGGTCCACAGGAAGGTGGCATGGACGTCCTTTGTGCTCAGGCATCGGCCATTCACCCTTGAGTCCGAGGCCACCCAGAAAGTGTGCTTCAATCAAGGAGAGTCATAGGTAGAATCAGGCAAGTCCCAATCCAGTCCTTTGAGCTGTTTCCATTGCAGCTTACAGGCGCAGGACACAGCTACAGGGAGCCTTTCTGTGCCCAGTGTCAGTCTCTCAGGATTGAGAGTGGCCCGGCATGAAAAACCAAGATGGCTGGAGCATGGCACTCTTTTCACGGTGTCATGAGTCTCATCTATGTGTCAGAATCGGGGTGTCTATCTGGGAGAGGCCTCTGAAGGCCTTTGGATTAGAATAGCCATCTATTCTACGCAAGAGGATATTGATTCCAGGAAGGTCTAACTGCCCATCCTGGTCATCCCAAAGTGAGCCCAGGACAGGAATGGGTGTTTTCATATTATTCTGTGTTCATCTGTCCACCTTACTCCAAAAGCAGGACCTTTATCTTCAGTGTCTCTGTGTGGCCCTCTTTATGTGAGTCTTGCTGAAGCTACTCTTTCTTTTTTGAAGCATATATCTTCAATTATCTAGGAAAGCTTTCTCTTTTTATTACATTTTATTTATGTTTATGGAGGTCAGAGGACAACTTGTAGAAGTTGGTTCTCCCGTTTTACCCAGGATGTCTTAGGAATTGAGTTCAGGTCATCAAACTTGGCAGCAAGCACCTTTACCCACTGAGCCATCTTGCTGGCCCTGAAACAACTTTCTGTTGAGTTTTTGTCACTTTGTCACCTTCAGGTCATAGAGGCTGCTAGTATCCACAAGAACAAAACAAAAACAATCAATATCCCAGAAGCCCCCACGCCTTCCTCCTATGGCCTCGCCAAGGAAACCACTCTTCTGAGTTTTGGTTTTACTTTTCATTCCAGCTTCCTTTATTTACTGTGGAAACCACATACAGAACATAATTCCATTCTGAGAAGGGCCACTTTGGTATTTCAAGTGTAAAGGAACAGATTCCCTGCTGATCGTTGCTTGGAATTACTTTCTTCTGCCTCTGTAAGCCTTTGAAAACCGCAGCTCTCGGGTTGTTCCTTAATTGATTGTATCTGGAATGTAACAGTTTCCCAAGAAAGGGGACATTTTTGAAGTGGCACACAAAGGAAAGTCCCTGGGTGAACTGTAGGTGCTCCCACAGTCACATGTGACCCACAAAGTTATCCATTTGCATAAAATGGGACTGAAGTCCTGAGATGCTGGGCAAGGAAGAACTTGGAAAAGGTCTGGGGGAGGGGCACGGGTGGGTGTAGACTTAATTCAAAATGCAATCGAACCATTGATGAGTTTGATCTGGGCCCATCAGCCCAGGACCACCAGGGACAGAAACAGGGTTTGATATTTCTTTCTTTTTGTTTTTGTTGTTGTTGTTATTTTGATTTGGTTTCTCAAGACAAGAGTTTCTCTGTGTAGTCCTGGCTGGCCTGGATCTAACTACGTAGACCAGGCTGGCTTTGAATTCAGAGAACCCCCTGCCTCTGCCTCCTGAGTGCTGGGATTGAAGGCGTGCACCACCACATCCTAGCTTGATTTTTCTAATAGATCCATTAAGGGTGTGTGTGTGTGTGTGTGTGTGTGTTGTGTGTGTGTGTGTGTGTGTGTGTGTGTTGATGGGTGTGCACACACAAGGACAGATGGACATGTGTACATATACATATGGAGGTCAGAGGTCAAGCTCAAGCTGTCCACTTTATTTTGTTTTGCTATTTTGTGGCAATGTTTAAACAGAGCATGGTGGAAGATGCAACTAACCCAGCACTTGGGAGGCAGCTACAGGTGGAGCCTGTGGTCCGGAGGCCACCCAGCCTGGTCTACATAGCAAATTCTAGCCCAGCTGGGGCTATATAGTGAGACCCTTCTCCAAACAAAGCAAACAAACAAAAACACAACTTCCCTACGTTTATCTGGGGCATATGCTTGCCACAGCACGTATGTGAAGGTCAGAGTTCAACTTACAGGAGTCAGTTCTCTCCTCCCACTGTGTGAGTCCTGGGGATTGAGCTCAAATTCATCAGACTTGGTGGTTAGCGCCCTTATCACCAGCCTGCCTTGTGTGTGTGTGTGTGTGTGTGTGTGTGTGTGTGTGTGTGTGTGTGTGTGTGTGTGTGTAGACAAGGTTTCTCACTTGCTTGGAGCTCGCCCATTCTGCTAAGCTGGACAGACAGTGGGCACCAGGGATCCCCCACCTCCCCAGTACACTGCTCACAAGTAGGTGCCACCATCACAACTATTTTCACGAGGGCACTGGGGGTTGAACTCAGGTCTTTGTGTCTGCAACGCAAGTACTTTTCCAACAGAGCCACCTCCCCAGCCAGAGCTCGGAAGACTGCAGAACCTGGGATGCCAGAGCATCTCACAGCAGTTGCTAAAGTACACTCTGAGGGAAGGTGAGGTTTAGGTGGAACACAGCAGGAGTCCAAGGAGTCACCACAAGCCTGGCCTGTGGAAACAGGTGGGATGTGTGGCTAGACCCTCTTGTCCCCGCTTGTGAGGAGTCTGCTCCTCCATGTGGATGACTCAGGTTTCCAGGTACCAATGGGCATTTCCCTTTGAGGACAGTACTTCAGGAAGTCTGGCTCCCAAGAGCCCACAATTTTAATGGAACCATGTCCCTTATGAAGAAGAAAGCAGTTTTCAAACAGAGAGAGAGGCTAGTTTGACCTGGACAGCTGCAGTGTGTGCTTGGAGAGACACATGTCATGTGACTTCACAGCTGCTTTAACCATGCTTGTGACCACAGCAGGAGAGTGTGCTCACGTGTATTGGGCTGTGTGCCTTTGTTCACCAAAACCAAACACAAGCCAGAGCTTAACTGATGTCATCCAAAGGCTGGGTCCTAGGGACAGGATATAAAGAGACCTCTTAGAAGCTGCTCCTCAGCCCTGGGTTGTCCTCTAATTTCCACATTAAAATCCTGAGCCCCCTCCCCCTCGCAATGATACAACTTGGAAAATACCCTACCGGGTGCCCGGTTCCTTAGGGCCTAGCTAGGAGGTCTGCCTCTCTTTGGATTTTCAGTAACTTTATTTTTTCCTCTTGCCTTGGCCTTAGTCCTCAGCCTGTGGCCTGGGTATGACAAGTCCTATTTCCTTTGTACTAAAAGTCCTGGCACCCAGTATCCTTTGACCTATTAAAACAAAACAGAGAGGGAAGTGTAGCTCAGTTAGTGGAGTGCCCGCCTAACATTTATGAAGTCCCGAGGAAGCCCTAGGGTTGACCCCAGCATCGCATAAAACTGGGTCTAGCATGGTACATGCCTGGAATCCTGGTCCTTGGGCTGGGGAGACAGGAAGGTCAGGGATTTAAGGTCATCCTTGGCTTCATAGTGTGCCCAACGCCAGCCTCCAATGGTGACACAAGCTTGTGTCTACTGCAGGCTCCCGGGGCCCCCACCAGACATGCACACCAAGACTCCCGGGGCAATCTGAGGCAGGCGCTACAGCTTGCCTTGTAAGCGGGTCATGCCCGTCACCATGGGACCTGCCTACCAGCACGCCATGCTTCCTAGCCTCTAGCAAGGCACTTTTGACATTGTGGCATGACATTGTCATTTATAAAGTTCATGCTTGAGAACTGTTCAATCAAGTATTTAAAGCTTGCAAAGAAATCTTATAACATTTTACACAGATTTAGGATTGTGTTCTCGGCTGCATTCAGTCTATCCACAGCCTGCGGGCGTCGGGGTGGACCCACCTGCTAGTGACAACAAACACTCGGTGGCGGCCTCTGGGGATTGGGATGGCGGCCTCCGGGGTTTGGAACACGACTTTGACAGTGATCTCGGGTGACTTGACTCCATTCCTTTTCTCTCCAAGACCCTCTACGTGCTTCCCAGACCCACACGGGCCTCGCTGCCGACTCTGCCTTCCCAGGTATACGACGTTCCTGTCCAGAGCAAGGTCTCCTCCACCCTTAAGGTGAGCTTCACTCTGCAACCCTGCCCCACCCTGAGGCTCGGCACTCAGTCTGAGTTCCCATGACATTTGCCTTTATGGCTTCCTTCATTCCAAAGGCTGACTCCCTTAAGATGAGCTGGCAGTGTTTACTTGGGTGACTGCTGGGATGTGTCTGTGTTTGTGCCCTCCCACCCCACCCTCACCCCACCCCCCTACCCTCAGTTCAGAAGGTGACCTTTAAAACATCAAGTCTAGTGTCGTAATGAAACTCATTATTGCACCCAGTTATTGTATGGTAATTTAAAACTGTAGGGTTGGAGTTGTGTTACAAGTGTATGAGGACCTGAATTCAAATCCCCAGAACCCACACAAAGCCAGACATAGTACAGGGGCTCTCAGCCCAGTGTTTCTACGGTGCAATGGGAGGGGGAGACAGGGGAATCCCCAGCCTGGTCCATGCTTAGACACACACACACACACACACACACACACACACACACAGAGAGAG